CAATGGTTTGTGTTTTAGAAGGTTGATTTTTATTTAGAAAGTGGTTTTTGTAAGCATGGCTGGCTTAGGGTTGGGCTTAGGTGTTTAGGCTTCGTCTAAGCAAACATTTTTCCCCCTTTTTTGTATTTGCGCCTTTTAGTTTTATTTCCATTTCTTTTAATGGCTAGCTAATTTCCCTAGATTGCCCTTCGGGTTTTTGAACTAGGATACTGTGTTTTGGCCCTAACTTTTGTCTAGGTTCCTTCTTTTGGTATCTTTAGGGAATCCTAGCGGACCTTATTTTGTTACCCTACCTTTTGCCTAGGCTACCCTTTATTGTTGTTCAGGTATCCTACCGGGTTGACCCTATCTTTTGCATAGCCCCCTTTGTGGGTTTCCTACCGGGTATTCTGCCCTTCTTCTTTTTGGCCTTTGGCTTCTATGGGCTTTTATTTTTTGTGTGTTTTTATTTTTATTCATAATATTGGTGAAGTATGACTTTCTTTATGGGTGAGGTAAAGTCTTATTTTTTGTGCTTCTAATCAGCTAGATTGATGGCAATAGCAATGGTAAATGTTGATTATTTGGATGCGCTTTTTATTCTTCCCTTTTTTTCGTTTACTTAGACAGTGGTTATTATGTGGTCTAGTCGAAATAGAGAGAAGAGAAGCAGATTGTAAGAAGTATTCTTTATTAATTAATAAGGGAATATGTGCCCTAAAATGCCCGGGGGTCGGGCTAGCCCCGGGGGACAATCTCTAACAATCATGGGGTTTACATCCCTTAAATGAAGAAAAAGATCTCCTAATGACTAGGGTAGCTCTTGACGCTTGCACCCCTCCACTTCGGAAAATTTGCTTGAGTGTGCGGAGGGGAGACTTCCCTTTTCTTCTTTTCGCTTGACCCTTGGTAGGGTTATATCCTAGGCCATACTTGAAAGGATTGTCTTTGAATTCTGGGGGTTCCCTCATGCCTTGGGAATCTGCCCCCAGTCCTTGGCCAGGATGGTAACCATGCTTCAACATCATGTGGGCTACCTTTGTGTTTTTGGGAAGTCGCTCTATACTGGCAATTTCGAGCGCTTGAAAAGATATTTTAAGGGACTCTTCAGCCGCATCCACATAAGGTTGGGTAGACGGTCCACTGATCAAAATGTCGTCTTCTGCTTGGACCGTGACCAATTTGTCATCCACTATGAACTTGACTTTTTGGTGGAGCGTTGAAGGTACTGCCTTAGCATCATGAATCCAAGGCCTGCCGAGGAGACAGCTATATGCTGGAGTAATATCCATTACATGGAAATCGATGTTGAAGATAGTGAGTCCAACTTGGATTGGCAAATTAACTTCTCCCACTACTTCACATTTTGATTCGTCGAAGGCTCGAACAATGGTGCTGCTTGGGCGCAGACGGGTTCCTTGGATAGTCAACTTGTCGAGTGTGCACTTGGGCATCAGGTTCAAGGATGACCCGTTATCCACAAGAACTTTGGCGATGAGGTACTCCTTGCATTTAACCGAGATATGCAAGGGCTTGTTGTGGTTTGACCCCTCGAGGGGGAGTTCTTCCTCTGTGAAGGTGAGGTGATCGCTTGCCGTGATGTGACCGACGATCCTCTCAACCTTTTCTTGGGATATGGTATGACGTACGTGCGCCTCGCTCAAGACCTTCAGCAGGGCATTTCTATGCGGTTCCGAGCTCATTATCAAAGATAACAATGTAATCTTTGCGGGTGTGCGATTGAGCTGGTCTATAATGGAATACTCACTTTGCCTTATGAACTGGAGTAATTCCTCTATCTCCTCCTTGGATTCTTTATCTTCTTTTTCTTCTTCGGTCTTCTTATTTTTTCCTTTATTTTTGAGGACCTCTTCTTGTGAGTCCTTGGGGGAGTAGACTCTTCCACTTCTGGTCATGCCCCCGATGCCGGCTATATTTGTTATTTCTTCTTTTAGTGGTGAAGATTCTCCATATCTCCACGGTACAACTTTATTCGATTTGTAGGGGAAAGGCCGTGGCATAAATAGTCGCACTGGTGTCCTTGCCCCCTCTTCCTTATTCTTGAGTACCAACGGTCGAGGCTTATTATCCTCTTGCGGTGAGTCGACCATTGGGGTAAGCTTTATTAGGAGTGGCTTTCTCTCCATTCTTCTGATTTGGAAGACATGTCAGTTAATCCTTCCTTTTTATTATCTTATTTATTAAGCGTGAAGGAGGGGAAATTAAATATGCAAATGAATGTCATGCATGCAAGTAGACAATTGTGGAATAAAGAGGAATTTCATTTATCCATTCAGAAGGTGTACATTCCCCTACTCCATACTACGAAGCAACTTTTGGCAAAAACGGAAAAGCCTAAAGAAACCCACAGGCGGGTCCTGATCTCTATGTAGTTCTCTTTCGGCTTCCCGGATGTGACGAGCAAGTGCTTCGCTTTGCTTTTGGACCGCCTGGCTCATATCTTTGCTGTATTTTTGAGCCTCTTTGATCTTCGCCTCTTGATGGATGACCAAGGCTTGCAGTTCGTCGAGTTTTGCGATGGCTCGGTCTTTCTCTTGTAGTACCTAGCCATACTGAGCTAGCCCGTCTCTTTCTTTGCAGCGTAGCTCAGCGATACTTTTGTTGAGTCTCCGGTTGGCCTCTCGCTCATGGCGTATGTCTGACCGAGTCTTGGTGAGTTCTTGCAATAATTCCTTGATCGTCTGAGCCTGTTTTGCTGATTCGGCCTCAAGGTGTGCAGACTTGGCGGTTATCTCCTGAATTTGACTATGCGAGCTAGTTTTGGCAGTTTTGGATGCTCGGATAGCTTCCTCGTTGGAGTCAGCACACTGATCCTTGAGGCGCTCTATTTCATGATCCTTTTTCTTGCACTGCCTTTGCAGACCATCTATGGTGAGGATAGATTCTTGCTCTCTTTCTTCAAGGGCCCTCATCTCGGGCTCCCATGATTTCTATCCTCCGGGTCAAGGCATCGACTTGAGCCTCAGCTCTTCACTATTGGCGCTTGTAGTGAGTGTGGTGGATGGTTGAGACATCCCTCTTCTTTTTCTCCACACCTTGTAGTCACTGGAGACAGTCACTCGAGCTTTTTCTAGCTCTCTATCTCCCATATAGAATGGTCTCTCCCATTCTCTTCTTACAACTAGTGAGTTGGCGATTGTGCATGGGTCTCCGAAGAAACACAGTCCTCCGAGTTTCCCTCGAGAAATGGTAGTTTGGGTCCTCATGAGCTGCATCATAGCTACTCTAGGTGAGTAGGCTATGCAACCCCTGAGTCCTATCAAGGGTACGTTCGGATAGTCTCCACATTTGATGAGAACTGGGCCAGGTCGGAACCAAGGGCAGACCCAGGATATACTGTTGGCATCCTTTGGTTCCAACTCGTCCCTCCATTCTGAAGTTAAGTGTCGTTGGAGAGGGATTTTGGAGAAGCTCCTTAAAGGATCAGGGAATATCCCCATGTGACTGGAGGCGTATAGGTGCGTAGCGCTCCACACGAATAGCAGTGAAGAGCAGCAGCGAAGTGTTTTTCCTTGCTTCTGGCGGCAAAATTCCACCGAGAGCAAGGTGTCGGCAAGAATGGCAGGCAAGGGACTCTTCGAGTTCACGTCCCAGGCGAAGAAGGCGTCCATGACGGCTTGATCCACTGTGTCGAGGTGGAAGGGAAACAAGATAGTTCCAAACATGATTAAAGCCAGGGTTTTGTTGAAGGCAACCCACTCTGTCCTTTCTGCCAAGTCGGACAGGTGGTCTTCTAACATTGAGACTTTCCAACCCTGGATGTTCCCTTTTCCTATCAGGGCAGTCTGCCGGAAGGGTAGTTGAATGATGGCAGCGACTTGTGCTGCAGGAGTATATGCCCCATGGTGGATATGGACCCCAGCTGATTTGGGCCATTTCAACATAATCTCATACTCCTCCAAGGTTGGCACCATATCGAACTGCGGAAATTCAAAGCATCGCAGACTGGAGTTCCAAAAATGAATTAATACCCTGAGGAACACTTGATCGACACAGATCTTTAGCAGATCGAGAATCAGTCCATAGGATTTTTCAAAGTCAGCGCGGACCTCCAGTGGCATTACCGTGCAAAGCCGTTCCAACTTCTCAGTATGATATTGGGGAATATCCACCTTCTTCAATTGTCTACTAGTCCCCTCCATTTTCTAAAACCAAAATTCATGTTTTATGAAAATGATGCTTATTTGAATGAATGTGAGTGTTTATTTTCTGTTTATCATGTTTTGTATGGTATTTACGTATTTTTTTTCGAAAAAAAATAAACTACCTATATGAATGATTTGGGATGTTTATGAATCAGGCCCCATTTATGGTTTTGAAAACGGATTTCTATTTAGTATTTTATTTTTACTTATTTGTTTATTTTATAGCCTTTTATCTCTTCTGTCGGAACTGCGTGGCTACTTAGCTTACAAAGAACCTGAAACTAGGCTAGCTAAAAGGCAGACTGTCCGAGATAAAATGTGGCTTTATGCGAAAAATTATTTAGCGTCCCTTATCTCTTCTGTCGGAACTGCGTGGCTACTTAGCTTACAACGAACCTAAAACCAGGCTAGCTAAAAGGCAGACTCACTAGTGGAAAAATAACATTCTATGACGAGTTTTTATCACGGTCGTAATCCACCCGTCATAGTATGTAGCGCGGTGGAAATATGTAACCGACATGGTAAGTGGAAAGTTCACTTTTTATGTTGGGTAAAACTTAACCGACATAGAAAGTTCACTTTGTATGTCGATTAAGTTTTACCCGACATAGAAAGTGAACTTTCTATGTCGGTTAAAATTTACCCGACATAGAAAGTGTATTTGATGACAGGTGTTAGGACAACTGACATAATATCTTCTATTTTACACCTATTTCGGCGTTCCATTTCATCACTTCACCCATAGCAGAGCTCCCCGTTTTCTCTATCTCTTCTACGAACGTGATCGCCTTTGTACGTTTCTCCCCACCCAGCTCTGCTCGTTACGGTGCATTCTAGAAACATTAACATCAACAGAGTTGGCTCATCACGAGGTAACATGTCAAATATGACTCTAACTATCCCAGGTTTTCCGCACCCTGATATTAATAACGAGCGCGAGGTCGAGGTCCTGTAGTTTGTTGAGGTTCCCGAGAGAAGTTGGAATGACGCCAACGAGGTTGCATTGGGTAAGCCAGAGAACCTCGAGGTTGGTAAGGTTCCCAAGCTTTGGAGGGATCCGACCCGGGAAGAAGGGGTTGTAAGACAGGTTGAGCATTTTCAAAGAGGATACATTGCCCAAGGAGGGGGGGATGGTGCCTTCTAGAAGATTGGAGACGAGGGAGAGGACTTGGAGGTTCTGGAAGGTTCCGAAGGAGTCCGGGATGGGGCTGGAGAAGTTGTTGCCGGTGAGGTCGAGGTAGCAGAGGTTGGGGAGGAGCGGGAGCGTGGCAGGGAGGAGATCGGTGAGGAGGTTCTAGGAGAGGTCGAGGTGGCGAAGATTGCGGCAGAGGGAGATGTCGAGAGGGAGCGTTTGGTTGATGGAGTTGTTTAAGAGGTTTATGGAAAGGAGGTTGGGGAGACGACAGAGAACGTTGGCGAGGAATGGGCCTCCGATGTTGGTGTCCGACAGGTCCAATGCTGTTACAGTGGTGTTCGAAGCGTCGCCGGCACAGGTCACTCCATACTAGTTGCAAGGGGTGGCATCCCTTGAGTTCCACGACGAAAGAGACGCGTCTGGGTCGTCGAGAGAGAGCTTGAATTTTCTTTCTACGTCGATTCTTAGAAACCGACGTAGAAAGTCTTACTTTCTTCGTCGGTTCTTAGGAACTGACGTAGAAAGGCTTACTTTCTATGACCCTTGTATCTATGTCGCCGCTTTAACCGATGTAGAAAGTAAATTCTTGTAGCTTTGGGATGCTCCTTCTTGTAGCCGACCCCTCGGTTGATGAGTATGAACCCCCATCCAATTTCTTGTAGCTTTGGGATGCTCCTTCTTGCGGTAGTCGACCCCTCAGATGACAAGTGGTAGAACCTCAGGATGCTCCTTCTTGTAGTAGCCGACCCCTCGGTTGATGAGTATAAACCCCCATCCGGTTGTTGCAGTCCACTATTGTAGGATTGGATGAGTATAAACCCCTCATCTGGCTGGTGCAGTCCACTATTGTAGGACTGGATGAGTATAAACCCCTCATCTGGCTGGTGTAGTCCACTATTGTACGACTAGATGAGTATAAACCCCTCATCTGGCTGGTTTAGTCCACTTCGTAGGACTGGCTGCGACTTACTGCTCTGGCTCATGCACAGGTTGATGGGTATGAACCCCCCATCTGGCTGGTGCAGTCCACTTTGTAGGACCAGTGGTAGTGGCAGCTTACTGCTCTAGCTCATGCGCCAGTTGATGGGTATGAACCCCCCATCTGGCTGGTGCAGTCCACTTTGTAAGACTGGTGGTGGTGGTGGTGGCTTACTGCTCTAGCTCATGCGCCAGTTGATGGGTATGAACCCCCCATCTGGCGGGTGCAGTCCACTTTGTAGGACCGATGGTGGTGGCGGCTTACTGCTCTAGCTCATGCGTCGGTTGATGGGTATGAACCCCCCATCTAGCGGGTGCAGTCCACTTTGTAGGACCGATGGTGGTGGCTTACTGCTCTAGCTCATGCGTTGGTTGATGGGTATGAACCCCCCCATCTGGCTAGTGCAGTCCACTTCATAGGGCTGATGGTGGTGACGGCTTACTGCTCTATCTCATGCGTCGGGATTCCATGGGGAATGATCTTGCTTTGGTAAATGTCTTTTATTTTTTTGGTAGAGTCTTCCAGTGCGCGGGGGATTCTTTAATTTCTGGCTTTTCCCGATAGCCATCCAACTTGTTGATTGCTGGGGATTCTTTGTTTTTGATCTTTTGGTCATCCAACTTTGCTGGTTGTTGGGAATTTTTGGTGAACGCTTTTGAGTACATGGTTGTTTTGGTGGTTTGCCTTTTCCTTTTTGTTAGGAAGATGGAGGCCGATGTTTTTTAGTCTCGCCTTTTCCCGCGGTTTATCTTTTTTCTCGCGATTTGGATTTTAGCTTTTTTATATTGCGTGTAAGCCTTTTTACTTTTCAGTTTCTTTTGGTACGCTGGATTTTTTGGAAAAAGAATAAAGGCAAACAAATTTATCAAAATATTTTATTTATATATGATAAAATTTGTACAATGATTATGCTGATACAAAGATATCCTTAAGACAGCGGTGGACTTGACTGTGAGCCTAGAGATGGGCTAGGAGGAGGGAACTGCCTAAACATATGCCTCTGGAACTCCTCCTGGCTCCGGATCATGTCAAGCTGACGCTGGGAGATCATGCGCAGGTCTTGCATCATCCCCTTTTGTCCCTGGCTGAAGGTCTCCATCCGCGTCTCAAAGACATCTTGCCTTAGGGACATCTGGTCCAGCTGCTGGTGGATGTCGTCCATGTGACAATGCATGCCAGGGAAATCATCCTCGTACTGCTGCTGTTGCTGCTCAAACTCTGGGGGCATCGGGATCTCCTGCGCCGCCTCCAAATCCTGCATACTTAAGGTCATGGCGAGCGCAAGGTGAAGGACCACCTGGGACCCTTGCCTAATAAGCATCTCCATGCTGACAAGCATGGATCCACTTATGTACTCAGGTCAGAGAGTGGAGGAAATGTCCTCCCCGCCAGGGCACCCCCATCTCTCGGCCAGCAAGGTGATGAAAGGACCCATGAGGATGGCTTCGACGGGGCAGCTCCCGAAGTCCTTGAGAGCTTTCACAAAGAAGTAGTCGGGGTTACACCGGCGTCCGAAAAGCATGTAGTGCAGTGTGAAAAGGTCGAGCTGGGTAATATTTGCCTAACTTTCCTTTCGCCCATGGATAGTCCCTGCCAGCAGCTTGTGGCAGATGCGTAGAGGAGGGCTGAGTGGCGACCCTTTCATCAAGGCCAGTAGAATCTGAGACCCGGTGAGATCCTCCCATATCTCACCAGTTGTGAGGGCAGCCGGCCACTCACAGATGGCCCCCTAATATTCCGGCATCAGGGTGTCTGCGGGTTGTATGAAGCCTATAGCGACATTGAACTCGTCCAACGTCGTCGTCCAATAGGTCCCGTTCATATAGTACGAGACCATCCTCACCGGAAGGACACCCGGGAACATCGTGGGCATCTTGATCATCGTAATGGAGGCGAGGAACTCCATTACGGCCTGTGTGTTGATGCGGGTCAGGGGGCTGGAGGAGGAAGTCCCACCCGATATTTTGAATGTAGCCCCGCACATTGTCCTCCCAACCGAACTCGGCCAGGATACCAAATTCTAGTCTCAGCATGGGGTGCCAGGAGTAACCCCTGATATGCTCTAGCCTGGCCTGATGTTGCGGTGTAAGCTGGGTAGGGTCTAGAGGAGCCGGGGCCCCGACCTCTCTTTGGGGCCTAGATGATTCGCCTCGTTGCATTTTGGCAAAGACACTCAAGAATGTCTGAGAATGTGTATGAAGATGCAGGAATGGAGTGCTTAGAACTAACCCAAAGGCCCCCTTTATATAGAAATTTTGATTTTGGTCGTGACCGCTGTCTAGGATTTTGGGACAGCGGCCTCACGTTTTCAAAGCTCGAGACTGTTATCTGGAATTTCGAGACGACAGTCTCGCCATTGGCAAATGGCGAGATGGCCTTCTCGCCAAGAGAGAAGGCGGTCTCGCTTTTTGTAAATGGCGAGATGGCGGTCTTGCTTTCAACGAAAGGTGAGACGGCGGTATCGTTAAGCGAGACGGCGGTCTCGCTTTTTGAAGGTTTTTTTTTGTAGGAAAATATAGGACCTTGTTCAAAAACATTTATGCATGCAATGTTTTCATGTTTTCTGTCCTATAACTCTATTTTGTTAATTTTTCAGAAGGATTAATTGGTGTGTCTTTGGAAGACGGGGGTCCTTCTAATGTTGTTTTTATTGTACTTGTTTGTACCGTTCCGGACTTAACGTGACCGAAGAATAACTGTTGGTTTGAGGAGCACACTTTGCCATGTCAGTGCACTTTTTCCTTACTCTAGGGATTTCAATCCTCTTGTTGATTATATGCCTCCATATTCCCAGACTAATTGTTAGAATATTATGGTAAGGGTCAAGACAAGAGAAGTAAGAGGATAATTTATTCAACGGCTTGTGTTTTAGACGGTTGATTTTTATTTACAAGGGGTTTTGTAAGAGTGGCTGGCAAAGGTTGGTCCGAGTGTTTAAGCTGATGTTTAAACAAACGTTTTTTCTTTGAGGGTTCGTGTCTTAGCCCATTTCTATCGCTTTCTATGGCTGATTGATTTCCCCAGATTGCCCTTTGGGTTTTCAGACTAGGATACTGTGTTTTGGTCATAACTTTTGTCTAGGTTCCTTTTTTTCTTGTTTTGGGAATCCTAGCGAACCTTATTTTGTAACCCTAACTTCTGCCTAAGCTACCTTTTATTGTTGTTCGGGTTTCCTAGCGGATTGACCCTAATTTCTGCATAGCCCCCTTTGTGGGTTTCCTACCGGGTATTTTGCCCTTTCTTTTTGGCCTTCGGCTTCTATGGGCTTTTTGATTTATGTTATTTTTACACAATATTGGCGAAACAAGACTTTATTATGATGAGGTAAAATCTTATTCTGTGTTTCTAATCAATCAGCTTGATTATTATTGCAATGACGTGTTTTGATCATTTTGACACGCTCCTCTTCTTCTTTTTTCTGTTTGCTTAAACATGGTTATTACGAGGTTTAGACATGATTAGCAAGAAAAGAAGCGAATGGTAAGAAATGTATTCTTTATTAATTAGTAAGGGAATATGTGCCCAAAAGATGCTCGGGGGTCGGGCTAGCCCCGGGGGATAATCTCTAACAATCACTGGGTTTACATCCCTTAAGAAAGGAAAAAGAACTCCTAATGACTAGGGTAGCTCTTGACGCTTGTATTCCTCCGCTTTGGAAAATCTGCTTGAGTGCGCGGAGGGGAGACTTCCCTTTTCTCTTTTCAGCTCGACCCTTTGTAGGGTCATATCCTAGGCCATACTTTAAAGGATTATCTTTGAATGCTGGGGGCTCCCTCATTCCTTGGGAGTCTGCCCCAAGTCCTTGGCCAGGATGATAACCATGCTTCATCATCATGCGGGCTACCTTCATATTACTAGGAAGTCTTTCTACATTGTCAATTTCAAGCGCTTCGAAAGATGTTTCAAGGGCCTCTTCAGCCACATCCACATAAGGTTGGGTAGACGGTCCACTGATCAGTATATCATCTTCTGCTTGGACCATGACCAGTTGTCATCCACTACAAACTTGACTTTCTGGTGGAGCGTTGAAGGTAGTGCCTTAGCATCATGAATCCAAGGTCTACCAAGGAGACAACTATATGCTTGAGTAATGTCCATCACATGGAAATCGACGTTGAAGATAGTGGGTCTGACTTGGATTAGCAGGTTGATTTCCCCCACTACTTCTTGTTTAGATCCGTCAAAGGCTCAAACGATAGTGCTACTTGGGTGCAAGCAGGTTCCTTGAATAGTTAACTTGTTAAGTGTGCATTTGGGCATCACGTTCAATGATGACTCGTTATCCACAAGAACTTTAGCGATGAGATACTCCTTGCATTTGATGGAAATATGCAAGGGCTTGTTGTGGCTCGACCCCTCTGAAGGGAGTTCTTCATCTGTGAAGGTGAGGTGATCGCTAGCCGTGATGTGACCAACG